GGAACAAGGTGTGAGGATTTCGGGGATTGTGCCGCAGGTGGCATAGAAGGGACATGTCCATTCCTCTGGTGGTATCTTCAAAGAAAGACACTTGCTCAACACGTGCATCAAGGAGAATTAATTGCTCAGTCGTGAGACAACGTTGAAAGATACAAAGGTTCCGATTTTTGTTCCGATTGGAAGAACCTCGTTTCTTTTACCACAAGCAACCTACTTGACTGGAAGCAAGGACCGAAAGCTCGACTTCTGACATCGAACATACGAACTGTTGAAACAAACGAAGCGACACTCGTTCACTACTCTGCCTTGAAGATGGCCATGAGACAAGGGTCGAAACGTCGCTACTGATCAATTATCCGATTGAGTTGTTTAAGCTGTGTATAGAAAAGCCATGTTGCATGCTGCTTTCAAAGAAAGAAAGAGACGAAGCAAAAGAATTGCAAGGAACATTTTGCAATTGAATCTTTTTTATCTACTGAAAGGTCTTATTTCTTACCGATGATCGTTTGCCATTCATTGTCTGTTGCTCTCTTATCACCAGTACGCAAACTGTATATGTCGAATTCTTCCCTGCTGATGGTTCCGTTACCGTCGAGGTCGCACAGGTCAAAAATATTCATCAGCACCATTCTTAAAATGAACATAAAATAAATTGAGCATCTTTCATTAATATGCATTGCTGCACAGTGCAGTTAATGATTTGCATGTTAAAAAGTATGCTGTTCATTTTTTGTTTATTTTTTTTGCAATATACTGAAAGTGCGAATTCAAGTTCGCAACTTGACAGAAGACAACGGCGCAAACAAAACGTAGCATGGCTAGTAAAAGTACACCGTATGCATTTTTCTCTGTGTAGGCAATAGTCGTGAAGCTAGGAGCCCATCCATTCAGTCGGCTAAATGGACAGAGGATTGCAAAGGCTAATCAACTAATCTAACTAATCAGTTAGGGTTTGTCTGAATGATCTACCTACGTTGGGCCTATGATCAATGGATTTCATACCCATTAACAAAAAGAGCACAGAAAACCAATATTCTTTAAGCAGCATTTTTAAACCTCCCATAATGAAATCATCTTACCTTCATCTACCTACATTTATGCTCATCTATACTAAGGAGTATTGAGTAACACCGAGACAATCCAGACTTGGATGTAAATAACAGAAATAAGGTTTTGTCATATTTCTGTAGTGATGAGGCGCGAAATCTTTAAAAGTAATAGTCGAGAGATGTTCATTTTCAAATGGTGTTTTCCAAATTGAGAAATCATAATTACCATGGCACGAACATGTGATCTAGACCTCAAGGAGAGACTGGGAATTTCCCTACTTACTGCATTCCCTTCCATAAACTTTATGGTCTGGGGCTCAACTTTGCTTTGATTCAAAGGGAGAGCCTTGTTTTTTCAAAGAGACAACACTCAAATCTAAATAAGCATCAGGCGACGCTTTTTTCCAAAGAGACAACTCCAGGTTGAAAGAAAGACAGGTAGATAAGACGGCTAAAGTTTCAGCACTCAGAATTTTGACTGAAAAAATACTTAGCTCTAGGATTAGCCGTCTTCCGCGGATTACCTGGTAAGGAGAACACTTCCTCCACTGCGAAAACGTTTATGGGAGATTTAAGAGCAATAAAGTCTTAGTGAGGCAAATAATTCAGGTTGCACAACTCAAACGTTTCGACAAGACAGACAGCGCATGAAAACGTGCGTGACAGACAGCACACATACATACATACATACATACATACATACATACATACATACATACATGCACACACAAATACATTGAGACATACATACATACATACATACATACATACATACATACATACATACATACATACATACATACATACAGACAGACAGACAGACAGACAGACAGACAGACAGACAGACAGACAGACAGACAGACAGACAGACAGACAGACGGACGGACGGACGGACGGACAGACAGACAGACAGGCAGGCAGGCAGGCAGGCAGACAGGCAGACAGACAGACAGACAGACAGACAGTCTGGCTGACTGACTGACTGTTTTTCTGTCTGACTGACCAAATTTTTCATTGTGAGTTTTGCCTTATATTGAAGTAAAGGCTATTCATTTGGGGATGACAAAATACTTCATACTACAATGTCTTCCAAGAAGAGAATATGCGTAAACCTGCTACAGGTGTGTGATATGTTTATTTTGAAGTGTTTATGATTTCGGTGCATGTGCTGTTTACCGTAATTCCTTGGCCAACTTAAGGGCACCATTGGCATCGATTATAAACAAGTTTGGATTGTTGCCAGTTTCTTTCGCCTTCGTTGGTCTGAACGTGCACTGCGACGTAAATGGCAGAATAAAGTAGGTGCCGGTGGAAAGCACTCCACTAAAATAGACAGAATCCTGGAAAATAGCAGCTGTCACGTTTAGAAGTTTAATAAAACAAAATCTTCGCACATTTTCATGCCCATGATCACTGAATCCTACGACATTTCCGGCAGCATCAACGACAAATAGCCACACGTCGCAATGTCTTTGCAGCTTTAGACCGCCAATCTCTGAAAACCAAAACCAACAAATGAGTAATAAACAAACGCTAGGGGTCGCTCTTCAGCCATGTTCCTTAGTCCTAGAGAGTACACAGAGCCAAGAAAACATGAGGGTATGAGAGTTTTGTCACAAATTATCTGATGTGTCCGCTCGTGCAAAGTAAGTTGCACTTGCCTGTTACAGCTGATAGAGCCAAAATGATCAATGCCTTCTTTTTCTTCAAATCAATTGTTTCATATCTGCTGTGAAATTAACACCAGTTGCATATCAAAGCTTCGATAGTGCAGTTTTAACGGATGTTTGCCACTCATCTGCCGCGAAAGGGCCAATTTTTTGCAGTCTTTTGACACCTATGAATTACAGCCTGCATGTTCTGTAGGAAGTGTCCACGCATCGTTAATTGTTGCTTAGATGGTCGAGTTACGTTCGTTATGAAAACATCTTTGCTACGCCTTCTTTGAGAAAGTACATATGGTGATACCGCGTGGACCATGATTCATTTTGATCTGAAATTAATGTGCCATTTCAATACAAATCACTCTTACAAAAAAGAAGTATCTCTTTCTACTGCTTTGGCCACCTTCTCTTAGCTTATGACTGTTTTTTTAATGATTTTTATGATTACTGAAAATTTCAACATGCATACCTCATTACATTAAGGTTTATAAAGTGAGAACTAAATTGAATTTTATTTACTTGTTACGATAAGGGTGCTGATGAAAGATTATGTACTTAGCACGTACGTAACTTATGGCCTGTAAATATTTATGATGATTACAATGCTCAATTTTTGCCTAAAAAGCTATCATAGTTTGAACACGTATGCAAATTTCTGAAATCAATAATTATGATATTTGAGGACTCATTCAGTTACTGCGCTTCTTAGGCTTCGACGAACAACCGTTTAGTATCTATCATTATCCACGCCATTATTTGTGTTTTTGTTCACTCCGTCTTTCATTAGTTATTTTTTCGATTCGTTCAGTCAGTCCCAGATTGATTCATTCATTCGTTTATTCATTTGTTCGCTTATTCATTCATTAATTGATTCGTTGATTCATTCTGAAACATTTATTTATTCACTTATCCATTCGTCTAGTCGAATATAGCATTCATCGCGAACATCACATAAGGATCTTAAAGTTACTTTGAATTGTGACCATTGCAGCACGCTCTCCTCATCTGCGAATAGATTTGACTAATGCTGAGATATCCATTATTTTAAAGGAACGCGAAATGTGTTGTTGAATGAAGATTGCTCTGAATCGTCCTACCTTTCAGTGAACGGATGGAGATCTGGACATTCTGCTCTGTAGCTAAGATCAATTCATACCGATGACACACCAATATTGACATATCTCCTTCGACGTCGAAGGAGAAGAACCCAAATTTCTCGACCGATTTGCAATCCTGAACTTTGGTTTATGTAAATTATGTGAATGATGAATTAGTTTAACAATTTACCGAATCCGCCTTGTGTCCTTCATCGATTGATCGCTCCAGAAGATCCTGTAATCCGACGCTACTCTGTTGAGCCGCTTTAATAAACTAAAAGTTAAATTTAATACGTTTGTATAAATTTCATTTCATATCATACGTCTTCATAATAAAATCGTTTTCCTCTGTATCCCTCATCGGAAGATATCAAATGCTGCAAGTTATCTTTAGAAAATTCCAGTTTCACCTGTTTTCTTGGATCAGTTTGGCACAAAGCATTGATCAACGCTGATTACCTTTCGAAGTACGCACATTAATTGCTCCAAAGTCAGAAACCCATTTCCGCTGTAGTCCAGACAACGGAATTTGTCTCTGAGTTCATCGGCAGACAGCTCTTGCACGACCTGCGAAGCATCTTGCAGTTGTTTGAAATCTGGTGAAAGCTATTAGCACTGGTGTAAGGTAGGCGTAGATTTACAATACCAATTGACGACAGCAGCAGGTCGTTCGAAGCACAAACTTTCGAGCTTCTTCCACACAATTTCAAGACCGAAAGCACTTCCTTCGGAATGATCTTCTCTGCGCCAGCTTCTACGTCGCTCATCGAGTGTGTTTCCTGGCAACAATATAAACAGTGAGGGCAGCTGCCTTCGATTTTCTAGCCAGCCAACTGAATTCCATCCTATTAAGGATGACATGCAGCCTTTGTGAACCTCTTTCTTTGCTCACTCTGTCATCCAAGTCTGGTCGAGCATCTCATGTCAAAAATGTCACAATTTTTAAGTAACACTCATAAAAGAACGGTAGTATAATAATTTGCAGGAAAGAGGCGGAAGAAGGTATGTTTATCTGTTCAATTCTAAAGCGATAAAAAAATCAATGACTGATAAATTACCTTTACCCTGCCCGAGAGTGCGCCTGAAACAGCTTTTTGATTTATCACACAATCAGTGCCTGGTTTGCTACCTGCATTTCCCAAACTTCCTTTTCAGATTGATGCTTACGTAGTAAACCGAAAATCAATGTTGTTAACGTCAGGGAACACTAACTGAGAATTAATCTTTAGTGATTAATTGGATAAAGTAAGGCAATTAATGAACGATTCGATATGCTACAGCAGAAATACCAAGTTCTTAAACAGTCTACCTAATTTCGTAGACCCCTTGTCCTAACCGGCCGGGAGAACGCAAACTTCAAGACGCTTCTACCGCTGTTCCAGTCATCCAGCAATCAGGCACTCTGAATGGGTTGAATGCAAAATGATAATCGTTCATTTAGCGACTAAGGACTGTCAAACCGGCTGGTGTATCGAATAGGTTTGAATGGAGGGCATTAAAAACAATGAATATATTCAAAATTCGTAGCCGACTCAGTGTCATCAATGAAGTTACGACTCTTCCAAATAGTGGATCTTCTGACGTAATGGTCAAAGACACGAAGACGATGAAAAAAATGTTTGCCTATTTGACAGCTAACAATCATTACTGTATCAGAAAAATTTCTTTGACTGCACTTCACTTTCCATCACTGCCACTCCCTTCAGGTCGCCGAGACAGATGCGTCAGACAGAGCTTCCAACGTTCCCGATCCTGTGCCAGAGTCTGAGCTTCGGCAGTAGACAACTGGAGTCTCGAACAGACTCCTTCCGAATATTTGCACCCGGTTAACCTTGGCCATCTACTGGGCCTTCTGCTGGTTGGCTGAGCTAGCAGTTTCTTGCTCGAGACATTACGACAACTGCTCAAGCCATCATAGCTGTGACTTTTCACACTGAAGAAGCAGAAACTGTACACAAAGATCTCGATTTCCGTACCCCTGACCATGTCGAGACGCGTACTACCACCGAGTCGTCTCAGAAAACCCATTTTAGTTACCTGTACCCGGGTTCGAAGTTTTTCAATGATGGTCCACGATTCGTGACCGTAGGTAAGTATGGGGATAAAGATCGACTTGAACAACGAGAGCTTAACCTTCAGACTCAGCTCTTCTTTAATCACAATGGTACGGCCTGGTTCATGCAGAACGCCACTGGCTGCTCCATTTCGTCGGTCCATTTGCTTCCTCAAATTTTTCATCACTACTTAGCACGATCCCGAGGAATGTACTTAAACTTTTCCACCTGCTCCACTGCTCTTCTATTTATTAGAAGAGAGCAGGAGAACATAGCAACGAACGAACGAACGAAAGCAATAAGTTTTATGTTTCAGATGCGTTCGCAAGCATGCCGGCCTCGTTCATCTGGCTACGAATTTTTCCACCTCTAGGAAACAGTCTCAGAAGATGATAACGAAGGAGGGTCACCTGCAAACATCAGCTTTAACGCCTCGACATCTCCTACGCTGAAACTATCCTCGGCCTCTCTGTGCTTGACTATTTTATCTAGGTACAAGACAAGCAGGAGAAGGGTCAGGACGCAGCATTGACGAAGGCCAATGCCAACGCTGACAGGCTTCGACTGAAAGCCATTTACTCTGATGCAGAACCGACTCTCAGCATATAGTGATTGGATGAGCCGCATAACAACCGCCTACTGTTACCATATGTTCGCAGAAATGCCCAGAGATTGTTGCATGGCATCAAATTGTACGTCTTCTCTAAGTCTACAAAGCATATATAAACTGGATAAGAGAACCACTACGATTTCTCAAAAATCTGGCACTGAGCAAATATCTGATCAGATGTGCTTCAGGTGGACTGGATGCTACACTGCACTTATTGTATTTTGGAGCTTGGAGTTCACGATTTCTCTGCTCTAACTTCTTTGTGTAACCGTTTCCCAGAAGGTGCAATATGCTAATGCCCCCAAAATTTGAGTACTCACTATAGCCTTCAATTTTGAACAGGGACGCTGAAACCCTGTTGTTAAGTCGAATCATATCTTTCTCGTACCCATTGCATTTTCACAGGTACGTCTTCGGAACAGCATGCCCGCTCCGTTTAAGAGTTTAATTTCAAGGCAGATTACATCGATTCCACCAGCCCTTCCACTATTAAAACGTATCATTGCTTGTGTGATACCAGCTATAGGGAGACTAATGTCTGTTCCTTACTGCTTTACAGGCGACTCTTCCTACTGTTGTTCAGGGTTAAGAGTTCCTCAAAGTACTCTCGATCGCCAAAGAATGTCCTTACCCTCGACAAGAGGGTGTTCGTACCTATTCTTTAACACAATTAAATGGCCCTTTTTTCACCTCGGAGCCGGCGGATAATCTGCCAGAATACTTTGTTCGGAAATTTGGAAATTCGACTGTTGCACCTCACCAAACTTTTCACAGGAATCAGCTTTGGCTGCCGCCTTGCATGCCTCGACATATCGCACACGAGTAGAAGGCTCTTTGTTTCCAAGCCATTTTTTGAACGCCGCTTTCTTCTCTTTAACTGCCAGCTGTACCTCTCGTGTCCAACATGAAGATCCTTTCTGACTTCCATACGGCAGGCCAACCCGTTTATATCCACAGCATTCGGCGTCAGCCTCAGCTATGGCGCTCTTAAAGAGCTGCCAGTCGGTTTCAACATCAGTTGTCATCACTGGGATCTGTTCAAACCGTCGTGCGATGTTATTTGCAAACTTCGCTCTCGTG